AAAAAAAAAAAAAAAAAAAAAAAAAAAAAAGAGCAGATTATTTCTCAGCAAGCCTTGAATCAAAATATAAATTTGACATCAGGAAATCAGCTCTGCAAAACTGCAAAAAAAACTTGTTGAACTATGTCTCAAGAATGTATAGTTACTTGGTTATCAAAAATATGCTCATCACAGCTGACAAGTAGTTTAAAATGACAAATAAAACTGCTATACAATAATTGCTTATCACGACTATACGTATTTGAAAAGTATGCCTTTCATAACTTATAAGAGAAAAAACAAACATTGCAGTAAAAACAACGTGAAGTCCAGTCAATAACTTTGAAATTGGAAAGCAACAAAACTTGGACTCAAGTTCCCAATTAAGTGAAACACCACACCACTTCTACTAGAAGACTGAGATCAAAGCAATAAATAACACATCTTAACGCTATAGGCTTAGTTTTCTGACAGGGCAGAATGCATCCGCGAGGCCTCGACGAATCCTAACCTTAAGACGTCACCTTTAAACAATTCTTTTAGAAAAACTGCTTTTCAAAACTAAAATATATTTATGAGAGAATTCAACTAATTCTTATCCCTGTGTTAAAAAAGAAAACACGTAGGGATTTCAAAGTTACCTAAACTATCCAAACTAAAACTTTTCACTAACATTGCTAGAACACTCTTTGGTGATATGCCTCAAAAAAGAGACTGACTTCTGCTGCCAGAAGTGCAACTCCACAATTTATCTGCTATCATTACAACACTGTAACTAACTGCTCTTCGTAGAGCCCTCATAAAACTAGGTCGATCGTGAAAACACAAAAGTTCTAGATCACTAAGCAACAATAATGCAGAATAATACGCTTCTAGAAGTTTTGAATTGGAATATTACAACGCCATTGTTCAGAAACGTTTTATTTCAACTTTTCCGAAGATTATCAAAAAGCTGTTTGCTGAGCAATGTGCGTTTGCAATAAAATAAATTTTAATGATTACAGAGTATAAACAGTGAAACAGCAAAAAAAACTACCATGCTCACTTTCAAAATTTATGCCTACCGAGGCCGACTCGTCGCTGACACTAACCGATGTCGAGCAAGTCACTACTTAAGACACCCTGACGCAGAGATGAGGTGAAGTGCCTTACTTCTAGAGAATAATGTTAGTCCCAGTCAACTGCGCACGGTCAGCAGGTTGCAAATTACACACAGTGTACGGACATAAAGCAATAAGCTGCGAACACAGAGAGTTACAATTTGCATTTTGATGAGACTCCACCAAGCTCCTCTTAATTCGATTAAAACAGTTATGAATGATCTCTTGAAGTTCTGACTTTTCTTTAGCAGGTATGGCACAAGGTTTCGTTACGGTAGTCAAGTGGCCTTGCGCTATTTCTTCCGCGGTTACATCACACAAATATAAAAACTGGATTGTAGCGCCATACCTAGAAAGAAGCAATGAAGTACCAGAACTGTATTAACATGGTCACAACAAGGCGTATTCAACAACAGGCGCAGACTACAACAATTGACTAAAACAACTTACATGTACAAAACTTCTTCACCTTCCAATTCTGCAAAGAAAAGATTTTGAGCGAGGGCATCTTGAAAACTGATTAACGTGCTTCTGCAAGGAAATAATTCACCTAGAGCTTTATAGATCTAATTTTTCTTTTGTATATTACATGAGATACTGTTAGTGGCATCAAATTTTTTCCAAAGACGACATAAATAGATAAACATTCAAGTTTTTAAAGAAAGCAAAATAAACTACCTCAGAAAAGCAAAGTTCTTGAACAAAATTCTATGAATCAGCAGAGCGACCACTGGTTCCACTTCAAAATCAATTTCCCTGGGATCACGACAGTCCAAGTTCTTTAAAAAATTTTAGACAAGTAAAGGCAACCAGAACCAGAGTCAAAGCCATTTAAGCCTTTAAGAAACATTTTATACAACCAAAGCTACGCGAACCTGAACACTGCAGCTTAAAAAATTTTGAGAAAACAGGATCGCTTAAGAACTGCATACCTGCTCTACGCTGTAAATGGCTACAACGGCAGTGCTTCAGACAAAAAAGTGCAGCTTTAATCTTTGAGAAAATTCTAACACTTATGATCCAGAAAAATCAGTAAATCTTTAAAATCCTCTTAGAAGTCTGACCGCATTTAATCTCCTTATAATAACAGAGACAGAAAAAGTACCTGAGAATTAGCGTCTTTTAGAGCTGCAATTAATACAGCGATTGCCGTTTTTGATAAATCAAGAAGTAATTTTTCTGTCAGATGACTGTAAGTTTGTAATGCGGCAAGAAGATGTAAAAAGGACCCAGCGCAGGTCTGAAAGAGCAAATCTTAACTACTCCAAAAATATCGCAGCTAAAAATCAAAGCAGAAAAAAAAACAATAGTTCTCAGGGGAAACCTTCGCATCAAATCCTTCGTCTTCACAGCGAGCTACCACCCAAACAAGACAGATATTGATTAAAGGGTAGATGATGTGTGGAGATATTTCGTGAGTGTCCAGTGAAACCTAAAACAGTCATTACGACACCGTGACAAAGGTTATCAATCTACTAGATCTCAAGAAGTGTAGGCCGCACAATTTTGTTTCATGAAAAGCTGTCGCAAATAGATAAATTTACTTTACTAAGTTTTAAAACCATAGAAAGAAAGTTCAAACTAAAACAAAAAAATGACCACTTAGCTCCTCTACAGTAACCTCACTACAAGCAGTTGGAAATTTTAAGAAATAGAGGAAAAAAGAATTTGTTAGTTTCTCCAGCATGCAAATTGACTGCGCAGAAAAGAAGTAGATGATGAATTATAAGGAAAGTTAGACAATGTAAGAAGAGAAAATCAAAAATTCGAGTACCAAAGCAAGGAAAAGACTTCTTAAACTTCTGGTAACTGGAACAATGAACGAGTGCGGCGCTTTCTGGTTGCAAAGCATTTCTAAAACGTTACCGACAGAATGTAGAAAGTCTTTTGAACAGGAACAAGACTCCAAATGAACACTGAGCATGTGTAACACTGCCTGAAAAAAGACAACAAATACATTTAAAAACTACAGTACCTAGAAATATTTGAAGTCATACCTGCGAAATACCATTTAAAAAGTCAAGCTGCTTTTCCTCCTCAATAATAACCAAGTTCGGTAGTATCGCAGCAAACCAATCCAAGTCTGCACGAATTTCTGACAAAATATTATCGTGCTCTTCAGCATCTTTCTAAAATATGTTTCTACAAAACGGCAGACACAAAAGCGAGGTTGCAAAATGCCCTCAAAAAGCCGTACAGTAACATTAACTAAAATGATGGCTAGCGTTTGACGAAGTTCCAGCGCGCGTATAGCATTTTCTGTTAAAAACAAAGGAAAATTTTCCCAGGACTCTTCCCGAAGCGAAATTCTTCTACTTATAGCATCTTTAACCAAACTCGAATCCTAAAAGGCAGTAAAGTAATACATTTCTCAGGAATAAATGTTTAAATCTTTTGTAAAAATGAATCAAGTCGTGAAGGAATAACAACGAAGAGCAAACTATATAAAATAGAGGTCGGTTCTAAGACCAGCTAAGAAATCTTAGAAAAAAGTAAAACGAATGTCTAAAGATTAGTAATTAAAAAAATGTTAATACATCAGTTATTTATGACCTCCTCAAAACTCAGAAATAATTCAGTTAATACAAACCAGGTAGAACTTCATCAGAAAACCATGAAAATTCTGAACCAAATTCTGCTGAATGGTTGGGCTCTTCAACATTGTTTCCAACAATAAAAACACCTGCATAATAACAAAGACATCATAGCAATAAGTACCGTCGAATAAAAATCCTATAGCACTTCCGAACAGAAAGCGGTGGAAAAAGTTCAATTTAAATGACTGCAAACAACTCGGCAACTGCAAATGACAGAAAAAATTGATGTAAACCCTGCGAAATTGAATTTACGCACTTTACGAACGTCTACTTGGTCTTTACTTCTCGACTTCTTTTGACTATTGAGGTTTTTGAACTCGATCTGCAACCTCTTTAGTCCTAAAATTAAGATAGTAGATGTGCAAAGGTAGAGAGTATTTCCAAGAAGAGACTTGTTAGTTTTGAACTAAGGCCGTTTGAATACTACAAGTAATAAGTAACTTGTTCAATAGCAAAAGTCTAAGGACTAGCAAAAGGAAAACAAAAAAAAACGCGATAGTTTCATTGAGGAGAGAGAGACTATTGCTCACTGTAATATCTCATTTTAATTTTAAACTGTTCTTTTGCAGAAATAAAAAAAAAGAATGAGAAAAGAATGAACATTACTCATGCTTCAAGTACAAAGAACTGCAGCTTTTACGAAATAAAAATAGAAATTTTCTGTAACGATTACTGCTAACTCTAAACTTTTTACTCCTGACCGTTAAAAAAGCCAGTAAATATAATAAAACGCTCCTTCTTTTAGCCAATTATTGATAAATTCTGGCTGCAAAATTACTCACCAGCATCAACTATCTCAATAACCTTCGACAGATTCCAATTCGCTAAAGCTTCAACATATCCCGCAACCGGAGCTGAGTCCATTGCAGAAGACGATAATTCTTTAAAAATGATGTTAGCTATTTGAGTTAGTTCACTACCCCCACGTAAAGTGCTGCCAAGAACAAGAATTGTTTCAACCAATGACGATTCCTAAAAATCAACAAAAATCGTCAAACTTCTAGCAGCAATAGCTTTTTAGAAATATTTATTGGCTGTAACTCACTACATTACAGACAAATAAGGGAGGAAATTATTGACGGTAAAAGAAGGGAAGAGCACGCCTTGAAGCAGTGTAACAGATGGCCGAACAGTTTCGTCAACAAACGTGACAATTTAGCTCTTTTAGCATCATGTTTTTTAATACTCAGAGGCTCACGAAGAACAGTCCAAGTTACAGTTAAGCATTCTAGCAACAAACACAGCTGTCGCCATAAACGAGCTCCCTCTCGATCG